TATTATAGACTATTGACGAGGGTAGATTACAGAATAATCAACAGAGATAAATATTTATAAAAGTTATCCAATTATAAAAATTAACAATGTGAATAAGGGTAAACAATAAAATATAATTAAATACATTTAATTTATAGTTAGTGTGATTTTAATAGTGATCAGGATCAGTTTTGAAAGTAACTTTAAGAGAAATTCCAGTATCATTTATACTTATAATATAATCATTGAAATACTGTACTAGATACTAAACAAAATACTTGTTTTCTAAATGTTACGATTTATGATAATTATATGGACTACAGGTGCGAGAAAACATCCATCTGTTCGGTGGAGATAAGGATAAGATAACGATATTCGGTGAGAGCGCCGGTAGTATCTCAGTATCGGCTCTTGTATTATCTCCACTGGCGAAAGGGCTGTTCGCGAGGGCTATACTAGAGTCAGGCGCTCAGCTCCAGAACCGTAAGGAAATTCATACCAAAGCCCAGGCATTAGCCGAGGCCAAGGAAATGGGCAAACATTTCAAGTGTACGGACGATAAGACGTGGTTAGACTGTCTGCGAAAGGTCAACGCAAATGAGATCCACTCATACACTCAGCTAAATGTGGGTCCCCTCGTGGGCACCGCCTATATGCCACTCACGGCACAGGAGGCGTTCAAAGAGGGGAAGTATAATACAGGTCAGTGTCAGTGAAATGGCGATTTAAGACATTTAATTGTGTCGACCATTACATCTGATGATGTTTTTGTGTCCAGATGTGGATCTGATCGCTGGTGTAGTCCGTAATGAGGGCTCACTTCTGGCGCCACAAATCAAAGGCAATATCACTAAAGAGATATTCACTAATGCCATCAAAGGACGCAATTTTGGTGACATTAGTTTGGATCAAGTGTTGGCCTTTTATCTCAAAGATATCAAAAAGGATGACTACGCGGCCTATCGGTGGGCATACTATGACTTGATTGGCGATATCGGTCTGAAGTGCAATACATACCTCTTCGCCAAACAAGTGGCCCAACACTCGACCACAAGGAATGTCTACTTCTATGAACTCACGTATCAAAGTGGCGGTCATTTGCAGGGATGTGATGAGAAGACAATGGGTATATGTCATGGATCTGATCTCGAGTTCGTGTTCTTCAGGACCGGTGCTAACCCTAAGCTCGACATACCTTTCAGTAAGGAATGGATGAGCTATTGGACTAATTTCGCCAAAACTGGGTATAACTTAACTGATTGTTTAAAATATAGAAAAGTTTTAATTGTCATTACGTTTGATATGAAGTGTTCCCACGACTGACGCCAAATGGCCTAAACTTGTGAATAAAGCCGAAGAATACAAGATATCGAGGTTTAAGGACATGAATCCACAAGACTTCAGCAAAATACTGGTCGACCCCTTTAAGAGGACTTGCGATGAGTTTTGGGCTAAATATTTTGAATGAACCTGTCAATAAAATAGATATATTGTATGAATATTGTATAAAATACAGTAAAACAAAATAATTAACAAATTTCTGTAATTTGTATGTCTGCTTGTTATAATCAAGAGTAATAGTAGCATTATAAATTATAATTAATATTCAGCCAAGAACTCAATACGAATAAAAATAAATTTTATGAATATATTTAATATATTTTACTTTACAAAAACACATTTCATTCATTTCCTTTGTTATACACGCGTTTTAATTGAGTATTAAATTTATGCGAAAAATGTCACAAATTTATAGCAAAGACTCTTTGGATCGTTTCGGCGATCATATGTTTGAAGTCCTCTTGAGTTACCTGTCATTTGAGGACCGATTCTGATGTGAATGTCTGTCCAAACAGTGCCAGAGAGTGGTATTCAACACACAATCGGATTTATATATTGACCGCAAATTAAATTTATTAATTCACGGAAATCGGTATATATTTGAATCCATACTTAGAAAGTGTGTGAATATAACACGTTTGCAGTACTCTAAGGATTATTACTATATTATAAGCAATTTATTACAGAACATGATTACAACATATTGCCGTCATTTAGTTGACATTAATATGAATATCTGCGGCAATAGTATCGACACAATTGATATGTTTTGCACACAATTCCGCAAACAATTGAAATCAATTCACTTAAAAGTCCACAAAAATCATTATGAAATGATTGAGGAATGGGTTATGTATTGCGATAATGTCAGTGAAGTCCATATATCCAGTGACCACAACAAGTTTCGTTGGTTTCCGTATTTATGGCAAAATGCAGACAATTATATGTGTAAGCGATTGAAAAGTATTGATTTCCACGACTCGGACATCGATTCGTATGAATTTGAAGTATTGACACAAATGTACGCAAAGAGATTGAAGTCCATTGGTATCCGACTTAACGCCGATTTAGCCGAAAGAGGTGTTAAGCGCCTAATGACTGGTTTGTCGCAATAGAATGCATTAATATGTGTCCGGATTGACACCATTGAGAAATTATTAATACATGGAATGACCTGTCACCAATTTGACAAGCTTATGATACAAATTGGTGCCAAATGTCCGCAATTGAAAAAATTATGCGTTGAATGCGATGGCCAGGAAGACGTCAAAGAAGTGATTGAAGCGATTAACGCAAACTTTAGGCGATTAAGGCGTCTATATATTAGTGGATATTTTAGAGATGATACACCTTTTCGTAGCCAATCGTTGCATGAATTAAAGAGATTAACACATTTGATGGTAAGGCTTAAGAGGTCAGTGGATTCCAACATTTCGGACGAGTTTTTCGATAATATTTCATATAATTTGCCAAAACTTAACAATTTATGCCTGGATTACGTGCATAATGTAACAGATGTGGCGTTGAATTCATTGTCCCAAATGCCCAAAATCCGTGCCATTAGTCTCGTGGGATACGGAGGGGTCACACAATCAGCGGTCGATAATCTCTATGAAAATTGTGGCAAAT